GCTGTAATTTTATACCTGGGAAAAATCTGATTCCAAAGTGGCTGCCAAAAACAAAGCCAGGACAGACACATGCCCACAGGGCCAGGCCCAAGCTCCTGCTGCAGTTGTGTCAGGTATCCAGGGGAGATTCTGTTTCCCCCTTTATAACAACACACACAGAGGCACACACACACACACAGAGTCAGATCACATCCTCTGTATTTGACAAGGCTGCTGCAGAGTGAGACAAAAGCAATATACAAGCTCAAAATGCGCCCCAGACCAGGGTGGACCAGTGTCTAAAATAGAGGCATCCCTGTTTATATCCTCTGGTAGACAAGACAGGGCTGAAGTTTCTTACAGATTTAAGTGTTAAAACAGAAACACTGACTCTGCTGGAAGATAATTACACACAACTTTGAAGAGACAGACACACGAAAGGACTTCCTGAATAGAACTCCAATGGTATGAGAAGTAATACCAAGAACCAACAAATGAGATCGTATCAAATTAAAAAGCCTCTGCACAGCAAAGGAAACAACCAACAGTGAAGAGAACCTACAGAATGAGAAAAAAAATTTTCCAGCTATTCTTCGGACAGAAGACTAACATCTAGAAGATACAAACAATACCAAAAAATTAAGACTCTCCAAAATAAAAGATCCAATCAAAAAACGGGCAACCAAAATGGACAAATCCATCTCAGAAGAAATGGCCAGTAAATAAATGAAAAAAAAAAAAAGTTCAGTATTTTTGGTCACTAGAGAAATGTAAATTAAAACTTCACTGAGATATTATTATCCTCTCATCATTTTGTTATGAAATGGTTTTATTTTTCCATAAAAAACAATGCTCTGTAATACTAAGTTCATGTTACTAACTGAGCTAAGAGCAGATTCATTTGTTCACAAATTCTTTATATCCAAGACACCAAGGAAAACTAGAGAGCTGAGACAGTAGCTCACCCCCTAGTTTCCAGTAACGTCAATATTTCACACACAGGTAACACTGAACTAGGACAACACATGGAAAACCTTTAACAGTAAAACAGCTTCCTCATATGAAGGAGAGTCATTGGCTGAGAGATCAAAGAAAACCATTTTTCAAAGAAAGTGTGACAAGTGTGCCAAATGGGCAAACAATTAAGCCACATGCCTAAAAATCTACGTGGGCTTTTTAGTAATGGTGGTAATGACTAAAATTTCTGGAAAATGTATTTTTAAATAACTAGTTGAAACCATCAGACAGCATTCAAAAACAGGCACAAAGTAGAGGGAACTTGACATTTTAGAGAAAAAACAAGATTGTCTTGAGATCTGTTTGTAGGGTCTTTCCCAGATTATGTTCAGGCATGAGGGTGGAGTGAACAGAACCCATGCAGGAGGCCACATCTATATCAGCTGAAGGGGTAAAATGACAGAATCGAAAACTAAAGATACCAAAGTAGGAATTTCTAGACAGAGTGAGACCACAGAGAGAAAACCTTTCAAATGCGTGAACTCCCCAAACCTTCCTGCACCAGCCCTTGGGTTTTCCAGTGCAGAGCCTTCAGTCTTCCATCGCGGATTTCCCAGCCTCCTGATATGAACTTCTAACCTGTGCAGATACAAGGGAGACTCCGAGAGGTCTGGGGAAATGTAAGAACTAAAATGAATTGAGATTTCATCTGCTTTCCAGTATAGGAGACAAGTCTGCACATTGAGCCCACCAAGTCACAGTTTTTAAAATACCTTGGAATTTCCATCAAAACTCCACACTAGCTATGCCTTGCATGTAAGAACCCCAGGACTAAGAAAAAGTGAAACACTTCACCTGTATAAAAGACTCCATAATTTAAACTACATATTAGGAAATGAAGAAAGAGAGGACAACTCGTCTGGTCATCTCAGAAAGAAAAGGTATTTGTCAAAATTAAGCAGTCACTCAATTAAAAAGGAAAAAGCTGTCAGATAACTTAAGATCAGAAAGAAACTTCTTCGGTTCTGACAAAATCCACCCATGAAATGTAGACAGCTAAAACCATGCCTAAAGAGAAACGGTCAATTTTTCCTCTTAAGACTGAGTATGAGATAAAAATATCTATCCTAGAGGCCTAGCCTTCAGTGAGGCATAGAAAAGAAAAAGAAACTTTAGAAAGAACTGTCTTTGTTCACAGACACAATTACACAGAAAATCTTCAACTATCTAATAAGAAAACCCTACTAGAACTAGTAAATGAATTTCATAAGGTCACAGTACACTAAACCAACATATAAAAAATAATCTCGATATACTATTCACATTTTCAAAACTGTCAGCCAGGCACGGTAGCACTGTCTATAGTCCCAGCATTCTGGGAGACTGCAACAGAAAGATTCCAAGTTCAGCCCGGCTTGGGAACTGAGTGATCAGCAAGACTTTGTCTCAAAAAAGAAATTAATTAACTGTGAAGACCCTCAATGGCTAGTCACATGCAAAAAGAAAATTAAAAAGTTCAAACACCATTTACAGAGCAGGGCCTGGTACTCCTGAAATCCCAGCAGTTGGGATGTGGAGGCAGAAGGGCACCACAAGTTCAAGGCCAGCCTGGGCTACACAGCGTGACCCTGTTTCAACCTTCTTTCCCCCCTAAAATTTATAACAGCATCAAAAAGCCTAACATACTTTGGAAAAAAAAATTTTAAACATCCAACAACTCTATGTTGAAAATTACATAATACTGATAATGCTAATGATACTGCTGAGGAACATTAAAAACCACTAATAAATGGAGAGATATACTGTTTAGGGATTTGAAAGTAATGTATACTTATTAAGATGTCAGTTCTCTTTAAACTGATCTATAGATTTAACACTCTTTCAATTCAAAATCCAAAAGACTATATATATATATATATATATATATATATATACTCATTCTAAAATTGAGATTAAAAATAGCACATAATGAGAAAAGTTAAAATAACCTTAAACAAAGTTGGAAGACTCAGACTACTTAACTTGACTTATAGACTTACTATAAAACAACAGTATGCAAGATAGTGTGGTATTTGCATAAAGATGGACAAATAAATTAACATGAGAGAACAGACAATCCAGCAAAGCAGCCACTGCAATATGTTTAACTGATTCTCAATAATGATTTCAAGGTGATTTGTGGGATTAAAAAAAGAAGTCTTTTCAACAAATAATACTATTACAACTCTTTTGTTAAATTACACACAAGTATCAATTTAAGAGAGCACATGAGGGCCAGAGATTTAGCTCAGTGGCATAAGCACCTGCCTGGCAAGCATGAGGTCATGAGTTCAATCCCCAATATCAAAAGGGGGGGGGGGACACATGAGACCTAGCTGACACTATAAGCTTCTAAAAGAAAACAGGTGAATATATGCCAAGACAGACTTCATAAAGAAGACACAAAGAACATAAATTATGAAAGAGATGATAAACTGTACTTAATGAAAATTAAAAACCTTTACTCAAAGATAGCACTATGAAAATGAGAAGGCAAGTCGGACAGGGAGAAAGTACTCATCATGTATATTTCTCACAGAGAACTCATACCCAGAAAACATAAACAACGCTTAGGAATGATTACTAACAAGACAAACTCAATTTTAGAAAACACAAAGGACTTGAACAAACACTCATTAAAAAAAACAACACAAATGGTCAATAAGCACACGAGAACATGGTCAACATCAGTAAAATGTGAATTTAAAATCACAGAATACCATATATTAGCCCTAGAACACCTAAAATTAAAAAGGAATAATCCCATCAAGTGTTAGTGAGGATATAGGATAAGATGAGGATACACTGCTGGTGGGAGACCAGTAATAGAACTTTTCAGAAAACCTTATGTGAGTTTCTTATAAAGTTAAATACATACTTACTCTAATACGCAGCAATTCCATTCCTGGGACTTTACTCATGAGAAATGCAAGTGTATATTCCCAAAATGTGCCAATAGGGGACCAAGAGATGGAGAGAGAGGGGATGGCGAAGTAAAAAATTAAGATATATTATGTATAAGTACCAACTCCCATGATGAGTATAACCATTATGTAAGGCAAACATGTAATAAAATTTTTTAGATGAAAAATAGTTCTATCCCAAAAAAGAATATCCACAGAAACAGTATTCATGATAAACAACCTGAAAGACTCCAGAAGTCCATCAAGAGAAAGCAAACAAATGGATGCTACATTTTTATAATGGGATACTACTCTGAAATAAAATACTGACAATATTCACAATAGTATGAGTGACTCTCACAGAAATGATGTTGAACAAAAGAGCACATACTGTGTAATTCCATTCACATGTACTTCTACAATAGACAGAGCTAGTCTGCAATGCAAGAAAGCATTATACTTATTGCCTTGGGCAGCACAAGTGGCTGGGAAGGGACACAATGGAGCCTCTGGAGGGATGGCAGTGTTCCCTGCCTTGGACGGGGAGCTGCTGACTCAGTTGCATGCATTTGCTATAATCCAAATTACTTCTGATCTTTCATTCCACGGTATATAAACTGTACTTCAATTTAAAACAACAGTTTTGTGAGGGAAGAGTTTGTAGCAGGGAGAAGGCACAATACCCCCTAAAGAATAAGAATAAAATAGAGATTATAAAACAAGAGAATATCATCCCTAATTTTCTTTCGTAGACACTCAGAGAGAAACTGAAAGGCTGGCACAAAACCAAAAACCTAAAGTAGAGTTTAACAGGCATAAATCAAAAAAGAAAAAGGCTAAAAACAAAAAACACACACACAAAAAATGAGCTAAGATAGCAATGAATAATAACAAAAACTCCTGTCAAACAAAACATAAGATTACCAGATTGTCCAAATATATTTAGCCTGGCAATCTGAATCAAAAGACCTCTGAACAATAAAATCAAGCCCACACAACTTATGACCGTGATTCTTTAAGTATATTTTAAGAAATGATTTTATAACTTCCATGATAGAAATTCCTACCACGTATGAAGTGAAATTATGTATAGATCAGAAATCAAACAAAACTCAATCTTACCTTCAGCGAAACTCCCTGTTAGAGTGATTACCACAAATACCTTCCCCTCTGGTTCCAGATCCACCTAGGAAAAGAAAAAAAATTCATGCTATATTTTACCATTAAAGTATTTTTGCAGGTCTTAAATAATTCTTTAAGGGAGGCCTAAACCACAGTCATAAATCAAATCTGCACCTCTCATTTTACAGGAAAGGCAAGGAAACAAGTGAAATTATAAAGATGAAAAGCAAATCTGAAAGAAACTATTTTTTCAGAGCTTTTTTCTCTTGAATTTCACTTTTTCGCTTTTTGCTCTTCACAATACAGAGAAGCATTCGTACACTTACTGTTTCTGAGATATCAGTGTCTCATGCAAACAACCACTAAAGACAGCATCTTATTAAACTTCTGGCAAGTAGTATACGAGATAGGGAATAAAGGCAACCTTCTAGGTAACAGACAAATGTGGCCCGATCAATTGCAATTCTTTACTTTGATGGAGTAAAAAGTACAAAAAGATTCCACCAATCCTTTCACCCAAATCCAGTCAATATTAAAGAACTAAGGAAGGAAGCTCAGGACCTGGTGTGACTCCCAACTGTTCACAGCAAACCCTTTGATGTCAACCATCAGTTGAAAAACCAAGATGAGCGGCCTGCATCCAGGCACATATCCCACTCCTCAGTCTCCCTAGCAGGGAACTCAGAAGGGAAAAGTGCCAGGCTGATGGGCTCTACATTCCTTCTGGATGCCAACCTCACTCTCGCCAAGCATCTGCACACTGCCCAGGGTGAGGAGCTATTCATTCAAACACATGCATTTCCATCTGTCTTAAAATAACCTTGTCAGATTCCACCCACAGCCCCATGTCTGCCTTTGAGCTTCCATGGAAGACAAGGTCACATAAGCAAGGTGTCAAAGGGACGGTGACAGGCTGGAAGAGTGAATTTAGACCGCAGGTCACATGGTAGAGTAGCATGCAGACACCCTACACCAGGCCATGGATGCCCATCTCTCTACTATCGCTGGTTCTGGACAGGGCAAGGCCTTTCCCCACCTGAGCCTCCCTTTCTCCAAGCCTCTGGGTGCCATCATCCAGCTTTTCCAGCCAGGCTCCCATCACGTGGCCTGAAAGATCCTAGGGGTATTATTTGCTATTTTTGTTGTACCACAGATGAACAAAGCCCCCACCAAATGCCTTGGCCTGACCGCAAGTCACCACCATGTTTTTCTTACCACATATTATTATATACTTTTCAAAATAAAAGATGACTATATTTTATAGGCTCAGAAAACTTCACCTCTACACTGTGACTCCTGTTCTCACCACTCTACTTCTCTCTGCATAAATCCACTGTCAGTGAGGTAACCATGCTGTAAAACACCTCAGCGAGTTGCATCACAGCGAATGTAAACTCCCAATATTCCCTTAACTACCTGACATCACTTGTGAACCTTTTTAGAATCCTCTGAAAATAGAGTTCTCGGGAGAGATGACTAAACAGGATGTCAGTCTCTAATTGTCTCCACTCTCTGCCTTGACTTGTTTCAAGTCAAAATTGTGTTATTTTTAAAAGCCACTCCCTCATCTTCAATATAAAGGCCTGGCAGAGAACACACTCTGCCTCTCAACCACATCGCTCTTACCCTGCGGACAGACCTACTGCAGCCGCCCCTGCCTTCCTGTGCCCACGGGCCGGCCTGCAAACCTCAGCCATCACCCCGAGGGCCCACAAAGAGCACTGCGGCCCCACAGGAAGAACTGCAGGAAGACTCCACGACCTGGAATCAGAAGCACTCACACTGAGAATGAGGTTTGGAGTGGATGAGCCAGATCCAAACATCACCTTCAAGCCGTGTCCACATGTGCCAAAACACAGGACCTCAGAACAGCATTTCACAAAGTGCGGATCAAGACCCATGGGGGACATGAAAAGAAATTAGTGGGATGTCACTGATTCTCATGGAGAATTTTAAGTTAAAAAAAGAAGATATAAACATACCATAGGAAGTAAGGAAAAGCACCACTTCCTAAAACTTTTGCTTGCAGTTTGGTGTACACATGTAAGGGTACAGTAGGGGCCAAATATGTGTACAAGTGTGTAATCCCAGCACTCGGGAAGCTGGAGCAGCAAGAATGTGAGTTTGAGGTCAGCCTGAGCTACAAATTGAGACAAAGGAAGGAAGGAAGGAAGGAAGGAAGGAAGGAAGGAAGGAAGGAAGGAAAGAAGGAGAGAAAGGGAAGGGAAGGATGGAGGGGGAAAAAGGTACAATGGGTTTTCACATAGAAATATATGCCTTATAGTGTCAAGAGAAAGATGAGATTACATGCCCCTTGTAGACTGATGGGCAGTTGTCATTTATCCTGGTAGTTGCTTGAATACCTCCGGTCATGCAATGGCCAACTGGCTATATCAACCTGGCCTAAACACTCTTGCACTCTACCGAAAGCTCTCTGGGTATGAGCAGGACTGCAGTGAGCTCAACACTTCCCACACATCGACCCTGATGCTGTGCTTTTGTTCTAGTAGATGGTCTCCTCTCGGGCCAGGGATATTCATTCCGGTTTTCTGAGAGTAGTACTTGACCCTCTCCCACATTTAGTCCAAATGGCTCGACTGTTTCTACTCCTACCTCTAGAGTGGACTCAAGACCAGACCTATTCAATCTGAGCCCTGCCGGGATGCCTGGCTGAGGGATTTGGCACAATCCCTGCATCTGGCTATTAGAGTAATTGCAACTGCCCTCCCTCAGCAGCTCCTAGTTCAGGTCTGGTCATAAAATTCAAGTAAATCCAATTACGAACCCTAGATCTATAAGAGGGATAAGATCTCACTTCTGCTGAACTCTACTCTGGAGAAACAAAGCTGGGGAGTCTTTAGCACCATGCTGATACAACATTGAGCCAGATAAGGAAGCCAACAAGGAGGTGAGGGCTGGGAGATAGAAAAGACCAGGTCTTGATGCCATCTCATCTGCAGATCAAGTCATGCTGGATTCTTTTGGATTTTTCAATTATTTGAGCCTATAAATTCCTCTTTTTGTTTGAAGTCCATTTGAGCAGGGCTTTCTATCAGTTGCACCCTAAAGACTTACCCAAATTGCAAGAAAAAAGAGAATAAACTGAATATTTAACGTCCATTACGCATACCCTCTACATGCTGCTCCCTGCAACCTGACGCAGTCTCCCACCAGCACAGAAGCAGCTCCCGCCTCAATATGTCCTACTATGAGATCCGAGGTGGGGCCACCTTCATCACCGCTAGTCTCTGCACACCTGGTCTTCACAGCAGCTCCTTCCTAGGACCCCTCTTTCTTGGTCTTCCTAACTTCCTCAAGCCCCTTGCAGCATCTCTCTTAGTGCCTCTAAATCTTGTTGCTTTACAGTTCTTTCTTCTTTTTTTTTTTTTTTTTTTTTTTTGTCTTTTTCTTTTTTATCGGTACTGGGGATCGAACTCACGACCGTCTGCTTGCAAGGCAGGTGCTTATGCCACTGAGCTAAATCCCCAGCCCCTTCTTTCTTCTTTCTATTGGAAGATTCAAACCCATAATCTCCAAATCCATTTTTGAGGAGAGGGAGAAAGAAGCACAGCAGAAGCTCCCAGAGGTGGAGTGTGAAGCCAAGGGGCAGCATCAGATGCACGTCCTCAATCTCAGCACAAGCCTTTCTCCAAACCCACAAATACGCTTTCTCTCACAGTCTCCATCTCAGTCTCCATGCGCTGCTGAACCAGTGTGCCCCCTTCCATTCCTGAGCATAACATCTTACCACCAGAAGCTGGGCTCTATACATCAAGTCTACTTTTTGAGTCTATCCTAAATCCTCCCTCTCCACTGCTACAGCTATGCCTTATCTGACCTCCTGAAATGGCCTTTTACCAGACTGCTGTCTGCCAGTGACATGTTTCCAAAACTAAACTGATCTTGTAACTTCATAACTTTGGATGCTCCCAGGTTCCCATTTCCTCCCATGGTATAAGCTGAACTTCTCAACACATATCCCTAGACACCATCGCCCTTCCTAACGTCTAGTCTCAATTCATCCACCATCTCAATGACATAAAACCTGCACCCACCCTCTTTAATTTTTTACACTCTACTTAACAAACAGTAGTAGGACATCCAAAAATCCATATGCACAATAAAGAAGTCAGACCTTTACCTTATAAGATGTATAAACACTAACTCAAAATAGATCAAGACTAAAACTATAAAAACCCTAGAAGAAAACACAGGAGTAAATTTTCCTGACCTTGGAGTAGGCAGTGGCTCTTTTAGATAACATCAAAGTACAAGTGATGAAAAAAGTGAAAAACCAATTCAAAATTAAAACCTTTGGTGCTACAAATAATACTATTAACAAAGTAAATAGACAATCACAGAGTAGGAGAAAACATTTATAAACCATATTTCTTATAAAAGATTTGTATTCAGATATATAAAGATTCATACAACTAAATAACATAATGATAAATAACTATTTTTAAAATAAGCAAAGCATTTAAATAGATACTTTTCCAAAGAAGATATACAAGCTACCAATAAGCTTATGAAAAATGTTCAGCATCATTGGCCATGTGAGAAATGCAAATCAAACCTATAATGAGATAGCATTTCATCCCAGAAAGAAGCTATAATCAACAACGACAGACAATAAAGAGTGTTAACAATAACGTGGAGGTACTGAAACTCTTGTGTATTATTGTTGAGAATATAAAACAGTCACTGTGGCAGTACATTGAAGTGCTAAAAACAGAATCAGTATATGGTGCAACACTTCCACTTCAAGCATAAGTAAAAGCATTGAAAATACTATATACCCTCACAAGAATTTATACAAAAATGGTCATGGCAACACTTTCATAATAGCCAAAATATAGAAACAGCCTGGATCATACACCAACTGATTAAAGGATTAAATTGTGAAATACTGCTGTGCATAGAGGTCCACGTCCATAACCCTAGCATATGGGAGGCTGGCCTGGGCTATACAGTGAATTCAAGGCTAACTTGGAATAGTGAGCTCTTGTCTCAAAAAAAATTGTGCTCTATCAATGCAGTGAAGTAGTACTCATCAATAAGTAA